GCACAAACCACGCTCACCACACATTATACAGCTTGGTTCTTTCCTAGTGCAAGTGTACTACCCCCTCCCTGCCAACTGAGCTACAGTGCAGGCTGATGTACACATGGCCAGCTCAACTACCAGTCACCTGACTTCTAATCAGCCCGTGTCCAGGAGGAACACAATAACTGGGGAAAGAAGGCAAAGCTATATCCTGGAAGGACAGAGACGCTTGGGCCCAAGCTGTTCTCCCCGCAGCTTAGAGCAGTTGTTCCAGTACGTATCAAGCAAGGGCTAGGCTGCCACTCGATCCATTTCATTCTTACCTTCCTTATAACCTTGTTCGGAGATTCAGCAGCAGCCCCACCCTGCACATCTTACATCATGCTTCAAGGAAATAGAAGTTTGTCTTCATAAAATGTGTAAAGACATCTCTCAGCTAAAGGTGGCTCTAGGGGGGAAAAACTGGTTTAACTCCATTGTACTGCTTCATGGACAATACTGAGTAACAATCATAGCTCAAGATGTTTAGTGTTTTGTGGAGAATGCGATCTATTCGCCGACATGGTCTGCTCTTCACCTTTCTTGCCCCCCTTTATCTTCTGCCTCAGTATCCTGGAAAGACTGCCGTGAGCGGGGCAATTTTGGACCAGACAGACTATCTATCAAGCAGATGCTGTCTCTTGAAGCATGACATTGGAGTGGGGCAGCCAAGCACATGCTCCATGAATAGCCCGCCAATAGCTCACACTTGTTAAAATATAAAAGCCATTCTTAACGTTAAGTACCACAATTAGGCAATCTCAAAACATGGCGGTGCTATCTGGGTTATGTGACAGACTCTACATCAGTATATATCTTTACAAGTTGCCTTCTTTTCAAACATTTCTTGAGAGATTTAAACTTCCTCAGTGTCAGCTCACGGAGTCATTTTGTGACGGTAGCGGCTGCAATAAAACAATAATGAAAAAATGAAAAGCTGGGAGACAGTTGTTTTCCCCATGTGGTTTAGCATCCTCTAGAGACCTAATAAATATTCAGTAAGTGATTAGCCGGTCCATCCCCACGTGCATCCTTTGCATATCCACGCCAGCTACTCTTTCGCAAGTAGCTTTACTTGGTAATTTACACATGTTCTGGCGGCACTCCGCACCTGCCAGCCTTGAAGTAATTAGCTTAGGATGCAGAACGATTGCTAAATTAAGGTTCTGCACTTGTAAAACCGAGAAAGCCTGCTAATCATCGCAGTAGCTCCGATAGCCGATGAATAACGAAAAACAAAAAAACAAAAAAACAAAAAACCCAAAACCCGAGGACGAGCCCGGTACCTCCCCTACCCGGTGATGTCGCCTGAGTGCCCACCCCTAGGTATCTGCCTATACAATACGCAGGCGAACAGTAGGTCAACAGTGGAAGATAGGTAAGAGGGACAAAACTCAATTATTTACAATCTTTCCCTTTCTTCTCTCCATATACAGCGTGAAGACATAAGGGTTGGGCGTTTTAGGACACACGAGGGCAGTGACATTGTAGTCAGGTACAACCTCAACCTGGTACAGGTGGCAACGCGGGCATCGCCCGGGGTCCCGCGGGCAGGAAGACCCGGCAGGGCTCCCCGCGGCGAGCAGGTCTGCGCAGAACTTTGATCCCGGAAAGAAGAGGCACCGGGTGAACCGAGAGCAGGAGCTAGTCGGCGTGGGCGGAGGAAGCCCGGGAGAGCGGCAGGCCGGGAGCGGAAGGCGAGGAGGAGAAGACGGGCAGGCAGGGGAAAGGAGGGAAAAGAGGCGGCAGCGGCAGTCGGGAGCCGCCCTCCGGCTCCCTCCGGCTCCCAAACTCGGGCGGGCCGCCCGCAGCGTCCAGATTTCTCCCCGGGCGCCGCCGCTCGCAGACTCCGCCAGCGCCGCGCCACTCCGCGCGTCCCCGCCGGCCCCGCGCGTG